AAAAAAAAAAAAAAAAAAAAAAAAAACGTGTCTAAACCAGACATGGTGGCATACACCTGTAATCCTAGCACTTGAAAGCCTAAGGCAGGAAAATCACTGCAAGGTCAAGGCCAGCCTGGGTCTGTCTCCAAAAGAAAAAGATAGGTGTCCCAAAAGCTCCATAAGAGCTCGGTGTTTTGGGGTGTGCCTGTAGTCCTGGCAAGAGGCTGGGGCAGGAGGAGCTCCTTGAGTTCAAGGCCAGCCTGAATCGTGCAGACCATGTCTCAAAAAAAACAAAAAATAGAAAAAAAACCCTGAACACTTGGGGATCAAAAAAAGCATTCTTACAGGAATGGCTACCTGAGCTGGCAAGGTAGGAAGGACCTGGCTTTAGCAAGCTTGAGCTGCTAGCACCCACATCTGGGATCAGACCTCTGTCTCCTGGCTCTTTTCCACTTCCTAGACTACTTCTGCACAACTTCACAGCCAGGAATCCCCACCGAGCTTTCTCTTGCCTTTGCTCCTATTCTCTAATCTCATCTTTTCCTCACCTATATATATGGGTCAACTTTCGTTTAACTCCTCTAGACTGGGTTCAGCCGAGCAGCTGTGCTTCAGATGGGAGGTCCGCTGGGTTGGGCTGCTCCGTGTGGTTCATGTGGTTTTTTTCTGGGTCCTGTGCTGAAGCTCTAGCTGCCCGGGACATGTTCTGCTGGGTTGCTGAAACATGGAGACCAAGTGAAGTCACACAGGCACGTGGCGATCCTCTGCTTGTGTCACATGCACTGTCGGCCAAAGCAAGTCACGTGGCACAGCCCAACATCAGCAGGATGGGGAACTAGAGATACTCACCATGCATGGAGAACAATGTGACATTACGTGGCAGAGGGCATTTTTGAGCCTTATTGCAGGGTAGTGAATTAAAACCAATAACCATACCAATTCAGTAACATATGTAAAAGATATGTGTGTGTACATTTTAAAGACTACACCAGATCTTAACTGAGGAGTGTTACTTGTGGGTAACTCATTTGTATTATCTGAGTTGTCCATATGTAGGTCAACTCTATCCATGGAATATAGGTTCAAGGACCTCCCTACCCCCACAAGATACAAAAATGCAGATATTCAAAGTCCCTTACACAGTTAACCTACACATATCTTCCCGCAAAAGTCATCTCTAGGTTATTTACAGTATCTAATATAAATGCTATGTACAAAACTTACACTGTGCTGTTCAGGAAATAATGACAAGAAAGAAGTCTACGTACTCTGTCCAGACATAATTTTCACCCCAATATTTTAAATTCTTGGTTGAATCCATGGATATGGAGCCCACAGTAATAGAGTAGAAACTGTGTATGTGTTCGTCAAAGAGAACTCTTGTTTTCAAACAACAGAAAACTAATAAGCCATATGCTTGCTTTGGCAGCATATATACTAAAATTGGAAAACTATCCGGGGATTTAGCTCAGTGGTTCCACCGCCTGCCTTGCAAGCTCAAGGACCCGAGTTCGATCCCCGATACTTAAAAAAAAAGTAATTTTCTAAAATTGGAAAACTAATCAGCCTTTAAGGCTTCTGGTCAGAAACAACATAAGGGTGAAGGGGGTAAAGGGAGGGCATGGTATGGGGAAAAAGAACTAAGATGTATCATGTAAAGGTACAAGATCCCAATGATAAATGTAACTATTGTTTGCTTTAAATGTACCAATAAATTTAATGGGGAAAAATGTTAAACACAAAAACAATATAAAATCCCACTGCACATAGGGAGATTCTGGGGACTAATAGTGTACTCTTTACTGAAGTGGTGGCTACATGTGCTTTTATGCTGTAATTATTTCTTAAACTGTATATTTGGTACATTTGTTAAGAGTTTAAGTGTTTAAAGATTCTTTAAAGGAAAACTAAGCAACCAAAAAGTTACCGAGAAAGGAGAGAAGTTAAACATCATACCACTGGCCCAACTGTGAACAGAATTTACATAAGGAAAATGAATATTGCACTAATAAAAATTACACTTAGGTATAATAAAGAATGAGTAGCCAGGCGTGGTGGCTCATGCCTGTAATCCCAGCACTCAGGAGGCTGAGGCAGGAGGATCACTGTGAGCTGGAGACCAGCCTGGGCTACATAGTGAGTTCCAGGTCAATCTCAACTACATAGTGAGACACTGTCTCGAAAAACGAAACAAACAAACAATGAGTGATGGGAATTTGGGGTATGTGTGGTAGTGCTGATAGCAGGATAAGCAGTTTAGGAGCACTAAACGCTTGCTTGTCTTTTGTAATGGAAAGTAAATAATGACTTAAGTGGTACTATATGCATGTTATTTTGAAATATTTTTATTATTGTTAACAACAGCACTATGTACTTTTAAAATTATTACTCTGGTTAAAAAAGTAAACAATTTTAATAAATGGATATTTATTTTGAATGCATCAACTTCCCACCATTCTAACTTCCAAGTCCCCATTCTCTCATTCCTGTATTATCACAGCAAGTAACTGATCTTGATGCCTTCCTATCTCTGTCTTGATTCCAGATTTCATCCTACACACTACAACCAGAAAAATGTTTCAGATATACGGGTCATCTCATCTCTTGTTGAAAGGCCTTTCGAAGACTCCCAATTGCAGACAGTATCAGTTGTCTCCCAACAGCCATTCCTTCTCTTTTCTGACAAAATCCATTTGGGGAGCAGGAAGGATGTCAGCCCTGCTCCTGTGGGACTCAGGTAGTTGTGACTGTTTGAGAGACGGCACGTGAGTCAAAGACAGCACATGTTGCAGCTATCTGATAAGAAATTTGAAATTACTGTAACAAATACAGTACACGACCTAACAAAAAGTAAACTACATGCAAGACCAAAAATGTCATAGGTCTGGGTGGGGTAACAGCCCTGCATTCAGTTTCAGCACCAAGGGATAAAATACCAACAGAGATGGGAACTGAGAATCAGCGGAAGTACTCAAAATGAGACACACTGACGGGGAAGATATGTGGGCTCAACAATAGACCTGACAAAATCAGAAAGTGACATTGAAGATGGGTCCATGGAGACTGCAAGAGGGTGAAAGGGGAGAGAGCATCCAAGAGTTGGACAGCATTGAAAGTTCTACACATGTAGTTAAATTTCCAGAAAGAAGGGGAAAAGAAGTGAAAAACAGTTGGGAATTTTCCTTAAGGACAATAAAATTCATATCTAAGCAGGCCAAATTTATGCATAAGCAACTAGGCATATCATTAAGAATGGTAAGACAGAAAACCTTAGCTAGGGGTGGGCAAAGAGTTTTGGAACCCTATAATCAATGAAAATACCTTTGACAATGAGGGAGAAATAAAGCCTTTCTCGAAAAAAAGCCCAGGAACTTCATACTCTACAAAAAATACTAAAGGAAATTCTTTAGACAGGTAACTGGCCACACAGCAACTTGGCACTACAAAACTTTTTATCTTGAGACAGTGTATGTACCCCAGACTGACCTCAAACTTGAGATCCTCCTTCCTCAGCTTCCTGAGTGCTCAGTTTACAGGTCTGCATGACTATGCCTCTCTATGAATCAAAACTAAGCACTTTATAAATGGAATGAATGAAAGTAATTTTAAACAATCTTTTTAACTGAATTATCTTAGAAACAGTTGAAGTCTATCTTCTCTCTTTTGTGTGGTATTGGGGATTAAACCCACTGACATCACCAGCCCTTGACACTTATTTTTGTTTGTTTGTTTATTTGTTTTGTTTTTTGGTACTGGGGATCTAACTCAAGACCTTGTGCTTGTGAGGCAGGCGGTGGCACCACTGAGCTAAATCCCTGGCTCCCGCCTTGACACTTTGAGACAGGGTCTTACTAAATTGCCCAGGCTGGGCTTGAACTTGTGATCCTCCTGCTTTGGCCTCCCAGAGTGCTTGGATTGCAAGCATGTACCACTGTGCCCAACCCTCTCTCATTACTTTGGGTGCTCGCACTGTACCACTGAGTTACATCCCCAGTTCTCAGTACTGAAGTCTAATGTAGGGTCGGCAAACCTTGTAAAGGAGAAGGTAATGTTTTAGGTTTTGTATATCAAATATCTCTTACAATTACCAAGATCCTTAATTGTAGCCCAAAAGCAGCTGTAGACAAGGTAAATAAATGAGCATGACTATGAATAAAACTATGGACACTGAGTTTGAATTTTTTTTAAAAAAAACAGGAGGATCTCGCTGTGCAAATCAGGCTGACCTGAACTCACTATGTAGCCCAGGCTGACCTCAAAACTTGCAGTGATCCTACCTCAGCCTCCCAATTCCTGAGATTAGTGTGGCTACCACACTTGGCCCATATAACTTTTATATGCCACAATGTATTATTTTTCAGCCATTTAAAAATGTAAATTTTTTGTTTTTTTGAGACAGGGTCTCGCTATGTAGTTGAGACTGACCTGGAACTCATTATGTAGCCCAGGCTGGTCTCAAACTCACAGCGATCCTCCTGCCTCAGCCTGCCAAGTGCAGGGATTACAGGTGTATGCCACCACGCCCGGCAAAAATGTAAATTCAGTTGGGACAGGTTATTCTTTGCTAACAACTGGAATAAAGCAGAAACATTAGCAACTGTGTTCTTAAATTTTGAGTATCGATAAGTGAACTGTATGTCTACATGATAAAGTACTAAGCAATAAAAGAATAAACTTGATCCATGCAACAACATGGGTTGCTTTTGAAATAATTATTCTAAGGGAAAGAACCCAGGCAAAAAAGATGAGCTACTGTATGATTCCATCCATATAAAATTCTGGGAAACATAAACTGCACTGAGTAGATCAGTGGTTGTCTGCGCTTGGTTGAGGGGTTAGAGATAGGAAGCTAATTTTTATTTATTTAGTTACTTATTTTTGGTACCAGGGAATGAACTCAGGACCTGTGCCTGCAAGACAGGTGTGGTGCCACTGAGCTAAAGCCCTGGCCCAGGAAGCTAATTTTAAAAGTAAAATGTATGACAATCACATGAAGAACAGGAGGTTAAAAGTAAGATGCAACTCTTATATGGTCTTTATATCACTCATGAATCAGGATAGATAATATCTGAAGATAAAGTGTGAGACCTGGTGCTACTATAGTTATACTGTGATACTTGAGGGCTTTTGGAGAATGTACTTAACATGAAGTAGGGACTGAGAATTGGAGAGAGGAGAAGGAGAAGAATGCATGTGCTTGTTTGAGTTTGATTTTCAGTCACTTGCTACGTAAATTACACACTTTTATTATCTCCTTTTCCATAGATCTGCAGTACAAATGTGGGCTAGGCAGGCCCTTTGTTCAGGGACTCATTAGGCTGAAGTCAGGATGTTAGTAAGGGTAAAATATAGCTCCTTTGCTTAAGACCCATCCCTAACCCTTAAAAGGTCATCTGCCATTCTTTGTCTTGTGGCTGTTTCACAGCCAACAGAAGAACATCTGTGATATTTTAATTTCCCCTTCTCTAATTTCCCTCTTCCAAAGGATTCAAAGCTGGGCATTGTGATGTACACTAGTAATACCACAATTCTGGGAGGCTAGGGCAGGAGAATCAAGTTTGAATCCAGCCTGGGCAATTTAATGACTTAGCAAGAATCTGTGTCAAAATAAGATAAAAGTTCCCTTGAGGTTGATTGATTGATTGATTTTGGTACTGGGGATGGAACTCGGGTCCTTGTGCTTGAGAGGCAGCTGACAGAACCACTGAGCCAAATCCCTGGCCCAGTCCCCCTAAGCTTTTCAGCTCCTTCAAAGTCAACTTATTAGGGACATTCACTGTATTTACAAAACCCCTTCACTTTTGCCACGTAACATAACTATCACAAAAGTGAAATCCCAACATAGTCACAAGTCCTGCCTGCGTGGTGAATGAATGTATCCAGTCTATACTGAAAATGGGTATCCTGAGATCTGTTTTAGAATTCACCCCACCCCATAGACCTCACTGATCTCACCTGCCTGTTACCCTGTCTTAGTTACTTTTATCGTTGCTAAGACAAAATACCCAACACCAAAGTTAAAGGAGGAAAGGTTTATTTTAGCGAGGAGTTTCATCATTTCCAAAAGCAAAATCCAACTGGCTTGCTGACCAGCACAATGAATGGATGTTTTGTTTGAGACAGGGTCTCACCATGTGATGCGGGCTGTTCTTGAACTCATGGCAGTCCTCCTGCTTCAGTTTCCTGAATGCTGGGATTACAGGTGTGCACCACCACACCTAGGTAGCAGGGAACAAATATGGTAACCACAATTGCTTGAGCAGGTTATTCCCAAATTGAAATGACTTAATTCTTCAGTGAGCACTAAGCATATTTTAGTATCAACAATGACTTAAACATGAGATGTGGAGGCACAAACCTGTATCTCAGTACTTGGGAGGCTGAGCCAGAAGGATGTAAATTTCAGGCCATCCTGGGCAATTTAATATGAACTTGTCTCAAAATAAAAATTTTTAAAAGGCGGGGGATGTAGCTCAGTGGTGAGCATTTGCCTAGCATTTGTAAGGCCTTGGGTTCAATCTCCAGTACTTTAAAAAAAAAAAAAATTGGTACTTGTAAACAATTTCGAATGTTTGAAGGATTTTTAATTAGGTTTATTAATGAGCTCTGAATAGTAATTTATAATCTGCTACATTTACAGAGTGTAAAGTCTATCAGTTAAAATTAAGGAAGAATACGTTTGGGGATTTCTTCATTATATTTGTTTTTGGGATTTTCGAGGGTTTGTTTTTGGTTTTTTGAGCTATGTGCCCCAGGTGGACCTCACACTTTTATAATCTTTTTGCCTCAGCCTTACAAGTACCGGGATTACAGAGGTGTGCCACCATGCCTGGCTAATGTCTTAATTTTAAAAAGCTTTCATTTAAAAAATCAATGTAACTTCAGAGTAATCTTTTCTGCTCCTTGAAGTTACCTTTAAGGTAACTGGAAGACCTTTGGGGGGGTGCTTTATGCTGGTGGTACATGTCTGTAATCAGAGGCTGGGGAAGAAGGATCATCACAAGTTTGAGGTCAGCCTGGGCTACATAGCGAATTCAAGGCCAGCTGAGACCTTGTCTCAAAAAAAATGGGGAGATTAAAAAAAATAATAATAATAAGCATGGTGGTCCACACCTGAAATCCCAGCTACTCCGGAGGCTGAGGCAGGAAGATGGAAAAGTTTAGGCTAGTCTAGGCAATTTAGTGAAGTCCTGCCTCGTGATATGATCTTTGTGTGTGTGTCTGTGTGTGTGTGTGTGTGTGTGGTACCAGGGATTGAATTTGGGACCCTGAGTTTCTGAGGAAGGCGGCAGAACCACTGAGCTAAATCCCAGGCCCCTCATGATAAAACCTTTAAAATGGTTATGGATGTAGCTCAGTGATAGTGTTTGCCTAGCATGCATAAATCCTGGATTCAATCCCCAACACTGCAAAACAAAAACTACTTATAACCCAACAGTGAACTCTGGAACAACTCTGGACAAGATGGGCATGAAACCAGAAAGTGCAGGAAAGAAAACACGGGGGGTGGATAAGCCATAGAAATCATGAGATTTGGCGGGGGGGTTGTATTGAAAACTTGGGAGATGGGGCAGTTTCTGGCCACGACGACATCAAGAGATGTGACTCTGTGGGTAAGTACCCTATTGGAAAGGAGACCAAGGACCTCATAAGCCCAGGTGCTATTTGGATGAATGGCCACTGTTGTTCACAACTCAAGGGTTTAAGCAAAGCTCCAATAATCAGCTACATTAAGTGGCGAAGCCTGCGTTAACTAGTGCATGGCCTGCGAAGCCTTATAAGATGGTCCTGTAAAACCCTAAAGTAGCCAAGTATGGCAGCAGTTCGGGTGGTAAAGCGGGATGGGAGGTAAAACGCAAGCAAAAACAATAGCTCATAATTATGGAGAACAGTCTACCATACGCTTGGTAATCTATGCACAAACTCAATAACCTTGTGAGTTCAGTACGTTTATTATAATCACTACCACTTTACAGATAATAAGAGCAAAAATGACCAAATCTGGTACTTATCACACTAGGGTAAGCAGTCCCGGCCGAATAGCTCCGCAGACAGCTCCCTGCGCTTTAGCAGACGTCCCGCCCAGCGTAGCGGAGGGTCACGTGTCAGCGTGGGGGCGGCCGCGCCTG